CCCCCAAAACCCCAAAACCCCAAAACCCCTCAAGGATCCTTAAAAATGGAATAAGAATGACGTATAATTAAAATGGAGATTCACAGTCATAGCCCGAGTTCTCAGGAAGAGCACTTGGCGGCCACTTTAGAGCCGGTTAAGCATGCTTATTTGTGTCTGTATTTTACTCGTGATAATTTGTCGATCCAGTATATCAGTGGGCTCAAGAGGTATTTACTCCAGATCGTTGATAAAGTCACGACATCATTTATCATAAGTGTCGTTTTTGAAAAGGACGTTTTTGAGGAGTACGAGCTTGATAGGAATATTAAAAGCATCCAGAATGTACTGAGTGGTTTGTATACAATCTTTGAGCCTGAGTATTCCAAGAATTATGCACTAGTCCATACAGATATTATATTGCCCCAAGTGTTTGAGACTCCCTTCATTCCACCTGGATATGAGTTTGGAGCCTATTTTTACGATAAAAGTATTGTTTCAGCTGAAGATATTGAGAAAATAGTATTTGAGTCTGAAGAAAAGTCCGAGAAAGTTGTTTTCAATGTGAGTTATTTCCTTAACTGTTCTAGGATATCACCAAGAGTGCTGGGATAGATCTAGAAATCGAGGAAAGTCATTTAGAAGATCAGGAAGTATCACTGGTTAGCAAGCAAGATGGGAAGTTTGAGAAATCAAAGTATAAAGTATCCTGCCTTGGAGGTACATTTGATCATCTCCATCTGGGACACAAGCTCTTACTCACAAATGCTTTGTTTTATACTTCTGAAAGAGTGGTGATTGGGATAACTGGTAGTGAGTTATTGGGTAAGAAGGCATATGCAGAACTTATCCAGGATTTCCCCTCGAGAAAAGCTCGAGTAGAGAGTTTCATAAATTTACTCACAAATAATAAGATTAAGGCAGATATTTATGAGCTGAAAGATCCTTGAGGTCCTGCTGGTACAGTTGAAGAAATTGAATGCTTAATTTTGACACCTGAAGTGGCCAAAGGAGGGGACTATTGCAATAATATTAGACAAGAGAAAGGCTTGACAACTCTAGATTTGGTTTTAGTTGATATGGTCCTTGATTCTAAAGATGATGAAGGCAGTAATTTTAGTAACAAAACTAGTAGTAGTAAGATCAGACAGTATCTTGCTGAGAAAGCAGAGGCTTTAAAGGAATAGTCCAGAGCTTATTAAAACTTCCATAAAACTGTTAGGTGAAATTTCAATTGCATACCTTTACAGACATTTTGGGTGATTCAATCTTCATTAGAATTTTAGGGGTTTTGGGGTTTTGGGGTTTTGGGGTTTTGGGG